TAAGATTTATAAAAAATAGTTTAAAAAATATTATTCAAATAAAAATTATTTTTTAATATTATAATATTAAATTAAAAATTAATTATATTAAAAAATAAATACAAAAAAAGATTTTAATATTAACATAAAAAAAATTAATTTAAAAAATATTTTAATAAAATATATTTAAATGAAAAATTGTTCTTTATTATTATAAAATCAGATAGAATGTTATTCATATTTAATAAAAACAGAAGATAATATTTTAATCTTTTCAAATATTTAAAATATATGAAAATTTTTTTAAAAAATTTGAATTTTATAAATTATAATATAAAAATATAAATTAATAAATTAATAAAATTATATTTTATATATTTAATAAAAATTTGTGTTTAGTATATATATATATGTATATTAAAATATTTGCAAAAATTATTATGATTATTTTATAATATTGAAATATAAATTAATTTTTTGTTTATTCATTTTTTAAATTATTTCATCACAATTAAAAATATTTTGTTTGTATATTTTTATCAAATTTGTCAATCAATCTTTAAATTATAAAATTATTTATATTAAATAATTTATCAAATCCTTGGGCTTGATATGTTAAAATAAATTCAAGAATTATAATATTATTTAAAATATAAAAACTATTATTAATCTTTTTTCAAGAATTTTTTTTAGTTTCTAATTTATCATTATTCAAATTTGAGATTATATATTTATTAAAATATATAGTTGAATAAAAATTAAATTAAAATTATAACAATATTTAAAGTATGTGGTTGAATAAAAATTGGATTAAAAATTATAGTAATATTTATAATGTATTGTGAAATAAAAATTAGACTCAAAATTATAACAATGTTTTAAATATGATTTGAATTATTTTGTTCAAAAATTTTGATATTTTCAATAATTTTTTAAGAATATTATGTTTAAGAAATCTAATAGATATATATTCATATAAAATTTTTTATTTAAATTATTTTAATGGCAAGTAACTTAATTAAATAATTAATTGATTAATTGAATTTGTTGAATAGAATATTTTTGTTTGTTTGTTTGCAGAAAAAAATAAAAATTAATTTATGAATATTATTTATAGTATGAATATTATATATATATTTATATATTTTCAAAAAAATTAATATTCATAATATATCAAATCAGATATGAAAAAATTTAGTGAGGTTTGTTATCATAATACAATATGTTTGGTGAACTTGTTTTCCTGTGTTATATAGATAAATTTGTTAAAATTAATATAGATCATAAATATTAGTTATTAGAATAATATATATATTTTTGTATGATTATTTTCATCTGTTTTTTTTTTATATATAAATTGATTTGTTATAATTAATAAACAAAATAAAAAATATCATATTATTTGAATTTGATTGTTTATTTTTATTACAAATATTGATCAATTCTCCAAAATAAATTTTTGATATTAAAAAATCTTTTTATAATTGTTATAATAGTTAAAGGATATTGTTGATTTAATAGTTGTAATTGATTTTGTATTTACAAATTTAAAAGATGTCAATGATGTTTTTGTTGTCTCATGCAAAAATAATGTTGAACAGAAAAATTTTGTTGATTTTTTAAGATAATTATAAAATATAAATTGTATAGTGATTGTATAGTGTGTCAAGTTTTTAAATCTTTTTATATAAATACATGTATATCAAAATAATTTGTTATATATTAATTTGTTAATTATAATTACAATTATGTATTTGTATATATTATAACTTATATTTCCAATTTTTATTTTTATATTTTTAAACATTATAAACATTATATTTTTGCCTTATTATTATTTTTTTAAAAAACATATAATTATATTTTATTTTACACTTTATTTTTATTTGGAATCTTTACAGATAACTTATTTCAAACATAAAAGTAATTTTAATAATAATCTTTTAAATTCTGTACAATTTATTCCTTTATGATTAAATTTTTTTTATTCATAAATAACAATAAAATATAATTTATAGCTAAATCAAAAGCATGGAGTATACAATATATTGTATATTTGATATAAAACTTTATCGATAATATGCAATTTACGTTTGCGAGTTTTAATTTTATAGACATATAAGAACAAAACTAATTCAAGTTGCATGTACTGTATAGGTAATTTAATTGTTTCGTAAAGATGCTTAGAATATCTCGTTCTCTGTTTTTTTACAATTTGGAAGTGTTTAATAAAAAATTTTCGATTATATTGAATTAGCAAAAGTTAATTGAAAAGAAGATCGTTGATTAAGAGAGAAGAAAATTGTTTTCCGAGAAACCATTAAATAGAGTCCAGGTGGTCCCTGTTAGCCCACGAGTTTTGGGGTGGTTTTTCTTAGAAATTATGTAATATTACACAAGATCGATCAGGGTGCATCCTGTATTTTTCCGTGCGTAAGTTTTTGTTACATCACATCGGAAAAAAATGAATCACCTTTATAATCAGATAGTGTTATTCGGAGATTCGATTACTCAGGTAGATGCGGTTTCTAATCTTGAATTCACGACCACGATTGCTTCAGGGTTATATCATGATAATTTCTTGTTTGCATCAAACTAACGTCATAGACAAGCTTCAGCTCTCAAAATAAAGGATGGGGTGCAGGGCTTTCACAGGCTTACGTGAGAAAGTTGGACGTCTACAATAGAGGGTTTTCAGGTGCGGTGACGGAGTCACATTTTTGTTCCAAATTACTCCCGACGTTGATCATTTTTCTTTGTCAAATTCCAAATTCTTAAGGTTACAATACCGAATGGGCAAAAGAATTGTTAACTCAATTACTTCCCAATCATGATTCCAAGGAACAATCGCAAAACTCAGATAGAGCCAAGATAGTTTTGGTCACAATCTTCTTTGGTGCCAACGATGCCGCCCTTAAACCTTATAAGCAACACATTGACCTTGACAAGTATAAAGAAAACCTGACTCAAATGGTTAACATGGTAAAGAAATCAAATTCCGAGTCACCACCTCGAGTGATACTCATTACTCCCCCACCTCTTGATGAAGAAGCGTGGCGGAATACCCGAGGAATGGAAATAGATAGGAAATCCGAAGTTACTCATCAATATGCATTAGCCTGTCTGCAGGTAGCGCAAGAGTTGAACGTGCCGGTGGTCAATTTGTGGAATTTGATTATGGACTTGGTAGAAGGAAATTCCGGATTTACTTTGAAAGATTATTTGAGTGACGGACTACATCTAAGCTCCCTCGGAAATGAGGAAAGTGTGAATAACGTTAGGATTATTTCAAAGTGGAATGAAGAATTGACCAAATTGTTCTCTTTCCGTTATAGACTCTTTTTAAAGAATTAATGGAGGTTATTATTGCTAATTGGCCAGAGTTGGATCCAGAAAAACTTCCAATGATTCAACCTGTTTGGAGTGATGTCGATCCTGAAAACGGCAGTGAGATTTTCAAGTTTGACGATGAATTCATTTGTAACCGATTTAAATAACTTCTTTGATGATTTAACCTGAAATAGTTTGAACTTAGACCTGAATGGAACTTCACAGTAACTCGATCTTTCAAAAAGGTCAAATGAAATGCAACAGATTTTTTCCTCGATCACCTTTCTTATGTACATGTACATTCAAACATTGAGCTCTTCAAAAAATAAATTAAAAACAAAAAAAGTTTCAAACTTATTTACAATCGCATTTTTATTAGTTTCATGTATTAAAAATTTTTGATTATTAAAATCTTTTTGAGTTTTTGCTCTATCACCGAATTAATTAAATTACTATTGTAAACATATTTTTCTAAGCCACGCCAAACATCCAGAAAGGTGGTATACCTCGCTCCCGTGATTCTTTCCCTATTCCCAAGGTGCTATCTAATATTTTCCGCTCACCTTTATGTCCAACACTCTCCAGATTTTCGTTCATCAACTTCATTTTGTCATCGAAATTCTTTATATATTGCTGGAAGTAATCGTGTTCATCACCATGTTCATGACGTATCCCCAATCGCTTATCATCACTTTCGTGAGCTGCCTGAGCTATGGATATTAGCGGCTTTAATATGAACACATCATTTTCGGTGAAGCTCAAGGATGACATCTGCGGCGTTACACCGTCATCACTTGAATCCACAGTTTCCGTTTTCATGCTGTCCTCGTCATCCTTCTCATTTATATTGGCTTCATCCAAATTGTAATCGCGAACACCGTTGATATTGCTATTATTAATGATATATTCTAATGTTCTCTTACGATTGAAATATTTGCCCATGTGTCCCATCATCACTGTCGACAATTTCAATCCTTTCGTCTTATAACCCCACAGGTCATTGCCTATTCCCACATTCTGAATTAATCGTGCGGTCAGCATCCAGTACTGAAGATTTAAACTCGAGTATCGAAACTTTTCGTTCTCATATATCAGACAACTATTTATCGCTTCATCGGAAGTTCTCGGAGCGATATTGTATGCATTTGCTTTTCGAAGAGCAATCTGTTCCTTGGCGTATATCATTTCATACGGTTGAGATATCTTTGAT